TAATTCTTCTCATGGATCTTCAATTGCCTCGAAGCATAAGCAATGACTCTGCCATCCTGCATCAATACCGCACCAAGCCCAATACGGGAAGCATCACAATAAACTGTATAGGGTCCTGAGCCTGTGGGCAAAACCAATATCGGTGCCGTAGTCAGAGCTGTCTTGAGCTTCTGAAAGCTCGCCTCACACTCGTCCGACCATCTGAACTGGGCACCCTTCTGGGTCAATCTGGTCATCGGGGCTGCTATGGATGAAAATCCCTCCACGAACCGGCGGTAATAACCTGCTAGCCCCAAGAAACTCCGAATCTCAGTAGCTGATGCTGGTCGAGGCCAGTTCTTGACTACCTCAATCTTCTTGGGGTCCACCTGAATACCCTCTGCTAATACAACATGATCCAAAAATGCAACCGAACTCAATCGAAACTCGCACTTCGAGAACTTAGCATACAACTGACTATCCTTCAGAGTCTGAAGAACCGCTCTGAGGTGCTGCTCGTGCTCCTCCTGGCTGCGGGAGTACACCAGAATATCATCAATAAAGACTATCACGAACAGGTCCAAGTAAGGTCTGAACACTCGGTTCATCAACTCCATAAATGCTGCTGGGGCATTGGTCAACCCAAATGACATGACAAAAAACTCATAATGCTCGTACCGAGTGCGGAATGCTGTCTTAGGGACATCAGACGCCCTAATCCTCAGCTGATGGTAGCCAGATCTCAAGTCTATCTTTGAAAACACCTTTGCACCCTGAAGCTGGTCAAACAAATCATCAATCCTCGGCAGTGGATACTTGTTCTTTATCGTCACCTTGTTCAATTGCCGGTAATCAATGCACATCCTCATCGATCCATCCTTTTTCTTCACAAATAACACTGGCGCACCCCAAGGAGAAACACTAGGCCTGATAAAACCCTTCTCTAGCAAGTCTTGCAACTGGTCCTTTAACTCCTTCTACTCTGGCGGGGCGATGCGATACGGCGGAATAGAAATGGGCTGCGTGCCTGGGGCCAGATCAATACAGAAATCAATATCCCTGTCGAGCGGCATACCCGGCAGGTCTGAAGGGAAAACCTCGGGGAACTCCCGAACAATAGGAACAGAGTCAATAGAAGGAACCTCTATGCTGGAATCGCGAACATACGCCAGATAAGCTAGACACCCCTTCTCAACCATGCGTCGAGCCTTCACATATGAAATAACACTGCGGGTGGCATGTCCCGGGGTCTCTCTCCACTCCAATCGGGGAAAATCTGGCAAAGCCAAGGTCACGATCTTGGCATGACAATCCAAGATAGCATGATACGGGAAAAACCAATCCATCCCTAATATAACGTCGAAATCCACCATGTCTAAGAGCAATAAATCAACATGGGTCTCCAGACCCTCAAATACTACCACACAGGAACGATGAACTCGGTCGACCACTATAGAATCACCCACTGGTGTAGATACATATACAGGAACACCCAAGACATCACTAGGCATAACCAAGTAGGGTGCAAAATAAGACGACACATATGAATACGTAGACCCAGGGTCAAATAGCACTGAAGCATCCCTATCACAGACCAGAATAGTACCTGTAATAACAGCATCTGAAGACTCAGCCTTTGGCCTGGCTGGCAAAGCATAACATCGGGGCTGGGCCCCACCTCCCTGAACCATGTCTCTGGGACGATCTGCTACTGGCTGACCCCTACCTCTGCCGGTCTGAGCTCCACCTCTACGGTCTCTACCTCCACCTCTATGATCCCTACCCCTGCCTCTAGCTGGCTGGGCAAGCTATGGATCACCTAGTGCCTGAATCATGGGGCGAGGACCCTGCTGCTGAGAGCTACTCGAGGCTTGAGGGCAAAATCTAACAATGTGACTCGGGTCACCATAACCATAACAAGCCCTCGGCTGCTGAGACTGCTGGCCCTGACGACCTGCATGTCCTCCCCGGAAACTCTAAAGTGGCGGTGCACTGATGGGCTGCTGATCAGAATAATGCTGCTGAGAACCACCACTACCTGGAGTACCATGAGAAACTTGGAGTGCTGACTGAAAGGGTCTCGGTGAATGGCCTCTACCATAAGAATCCCTACCTCCAGACGAGGTACCACTGAACCTACCAGAATGACGAGGCCTCTTATCCAACACCTGACCACCTCTTCGTGCAAGAGCCATCTCCACTCTACGGGCCGCATTGGCCGCCTCCTGAAAAGAAATCTCACTACCAGCTCCCATAGCCATCTGGAGACGGATCGGCTGAATCAATCCATCAATAAACCTCCGCACCCTCTCTCGCTCTGTGGGGAGTATAACAATAGCATGGCGTGCCAAATCAATGAACCGCATCTCATACTGGGTGACTGTCATGGAGCCCTGCTAGAGGCGCTCGAACTGCCTGCGAAGTGCCTCCCGCTGAGTGACTGGGAGAAACTTCTCCAAAAACAACTCTGCAAACTGATCCCATGTCAATGCTGGCGACCCTGCTGGTCTAGATAAACAATAGTCCCTCCACCAAGTCTTGGCGGATCCTGCAAGCCGAAAGGTGGCGAAGTCGACCCCATTGGTCTCCACAATACCCATAGTCCTAAGGATCTCATGGCAGCTGAATAAGAAATCCTGTGGATCCTCTGATGAAGCACCGCTGAATGTGGTGGTGAAGAGCTTGGAGAACCTATCAAGCCTCCACAAAGCATCTGAGGACATAGCCGCTCCATCGCCGGTCTTAGTCATAATACCTGGCTGAACTGCCACAGCTGGCTGAGCCACTGGAACCTGAGTCTGGGGAGCTACCTGCTCCGGAGTACGTGTAGCAGGAGTCTGAACTCCTCCTCCAGCCTGAGAAGTGGGTGGTTCTACTGGAAGCAAACCCGCTCTAGTGACGCTCTCCACAAAGCCTACCAATCTGACCAGAGCATCCTGGGGTAGCTATGAACCCTCTGGGACCTGAGCTGGGCCCACCGGAGCTGCTGGGGTTGGAGTCTCCTCATCATAATCAATATGAGGCTCCACCTCTGGGACTGCTGCTCGGGGCTGAGCTCTGCCCCTGCCTCGGCCTCTGGCACGGCCTCGGCCTCTGCCCCTCGTAGGAGCTGCTGCTGGGGGCTCGGGCTGCTGCGCGGTAGAAGAGGAAGCACGTGTTCTCGCCATCTGCGAAGGAACAGAGTAGAACGACAATCAGTATTTGAGAAACAGAATCGCACGAGAAGAAAGAACAAAAGTGAAGTTTTTCCTAACTCCGTAGCCTTTGGGGGATAAATACAGACGTCTCCGTACCGATCCCTCAGACTCTACCAAGTTTTTCCGTGAGTAGCGAGACCTATGTAACCTAGAGCTCTGATACCAANATCTTGTCCTCAATCTCCATCTAGATCTACTTCATCTAGCAACACATCTAATACATCTAGTGGGAGTGTTATAAGTGCATCAAAAATAAGGACTAAGCTTAGCTTGAAGAAACAAAAGGAAGACAATGGGGGTGGGGGTGCTAAATCGGAGTTGGATAAATACATTAGTGAAGAACAAGAACCTTTTAGTGAAGACTTTGATATCTTGAGTTGGTGGAAAACACATGCTCCTAGATTTCCTATTCTTTCGGAGTTGGCTCGTGATGTGTTGGCCATTCCAATTTCTAGTGTGGCGTCGGAATGCGCATTTAGCACCGGTGGCCGTATTCTTGATTCATTTAGGAGTTCATTGACTCCTAAATGTGTGGAAGCTCTTATTTGTGTTCAAGATTGGCTTAGAGAAGAGAACAATCCTATTAGTGTTGAAGAAGACTTGAAGTATCTTGAGGAACTCGAGCTCGGTAAGCTTTAATATTTTGCGTGTATTTTAGTTCAAAATAATATATCATGCTTTTTCATTTGTATGACATATTTGGTCGAATTATCTATAGATATGGAAAATAATGGAAGCACAACTAGCATTGTTTGATGTATAGTTGCAACTTACATCTTGAGAGGTAAGTTTAATACTCATTTTGTTTGGTGATATACTTAATACTTTTGTAGTTTTGTTTTTTTATCATCAAAATATTATATTCTAACTTATGATTTATATTTTTTTCAAGCATTGTGGTCAAGTCTATAATGTGTAGTTGTGTACAGATGCAATTTGGAGTTGGGCAGAATTTGGCAAACTTTGGAGTTGTGTACAGTGCACTGGCGTTTTTGTTCACTGTACAGTGCACTGGTGTTTTTGCTGACTGTTGACTGTTGCTGCAACAGTGTTGCTGTTGCATCTGTTAAGTTCTCTACCAAACGTTGTTTCAATTAGAAAATATGTATTGTTTCTAAATT